GAGGCCTTTCAGCATCTTAAATGATTCCGGGTTTCTAAATATCGTAAACCCAATCAAACGGGCACTAGAACAGACGAGAAAAGAAACATTTTCAATTTTGCCGGAATCAATTAAAAAAAAAGTTGTCGAAGAAGCAAATAATATTAAAAGAGAAATATTAGAAGAAATTAAAAATACTATGGTTTCGATTAAAATAGATGCAGTCACGCGTTTGGATAGATCGTTTTTGGGTATTAATATGCAGTATATTAAAAACTCAAAAATTTTGCTTAGAACCTTGGGTCTCGCCGAACTAAAGGAAAAACATACCGGTATGTCAATATGGTTAATAATGCTGTATTGTGCTGAGTAGTTATACTATGGGGGTTCTAACCCAGGGGCAATGAGGGGGGTGCGGGTGAAGAGGGGAAGAGGGGTATCAGATAACAGTGGAGGGGGTAATGACGTCATCGTTTTGGAGGAGAGGGGGTAATTTAGGAGTGGTGGGGGGTATCAGATAACAATAATTCCTGGAAGTGGGGGATTTCCGGGATTCCCGGAAGAGATAAGATAAGGATTGTTAATACAAACATGAGTCGTCGAGAGATAAGGATTCCTGGAAGAGATAGGGATTCCGAGAACTGTTTAGATCCTTTGGTTTTTCTCTGCACATCAAAGTGGAGCGCCATGTTGTCGGAATGTATCATTGTTAAAGGATTCCGAGAACTGTTTAGATCCTTTGGTTTTCTCTGCGCATCAAAGTGGAGCGCCATGTTGTCGGAATGCATCATCGCAATGTTTATACAATAAGGGTATATAAGGCCCGCGAAGAACGAGTGGTATAACAGTCGAAATGTTTTGTACCGACTTATCGCGAGTCAAGTTACACCGTTGTAGCGGACCATTTAAATAAACAATTTCAAAAGTTTTATTAAATAAATTTATTCATATTAAATAAATAATTAAATTATTATTCCTGTGCCTCATCTTATTCACTGACCTATCCTACCGCGAGATAAGCGACAGATCATATGTCACGAGGATCGTATAACTGAGGTGGAATAAAGTTGTACGATATAAATCATTTTTTCTTTTATTTACGACGAATGATATAGAGTGAAATAATTAAGTTATACATTTATTCTAAACACCAATAATATACTTCAAGTTTTCTTTTTAATACAAATTATCCGCGGTAAAATATAAATTTAATAGGAACTTTAATCTAAACTTAATATGTAATTTAAGGATGGGAGGTGAAAGGAGAAAAAATCGCAATAAGATTAATATTAGCAAATTTTATTCATATTTTTGTAAAAGATGTTACATAGATAAAAAAAAAATTGTTTTAACTGAGCCTCTAACGCCTTTCACGATTACGAGGGGAACGGGGGGAGGGCGGCTTGAGTCGTCCTCGGACGAGGCTCGACCACAGCTATCGGCTTGTGGTACACTCCGCAATCTTTACACTTCTCGTATTCGGAATTTTTTCTATTCTGATCACGCTCCATTTTCTATACTTTTTTCTCCACCGCGTGCACACTTTGAACTGATAAATTACTCTCTTCCGCACACCTTATATACAGCTCGACGCAAAAAACGTCAATTTCGCTGTAGTAATAAACGTTAAAATACGTTCGATAGATGTTAAAAGTGGTTTAAGTAATGTTGAAAAGATGTACGTAAGATGTTCAACAATACGTTAAAAGACGTTCGATAGACGTTCAAAAAGACGTACGATAGATGTTCTTACGAATAATCTCTTCGCGAGATAAGCGACAGAGCATATATCACGAGGATCGTATAACTGAGGTGGAATAAAAGTCATACGAGAGATGTTCAAAGATGTACGATAGACGTTCCATAGATGTTCAATAGACGTTCAAAGACGTACGATAGACGTTCAAAGACGTACAATAGACGTTCGATAGACGTACGAGAGACGTTTGATAGACGTTCAAAGACGTACGATAGACGTTCAAAGATGTACGAGAGGCGTACGATAGACGTTCAATAGATGTTAAAAGTAGTTCGATTGACGTTCAAAGACGTACAATAGATGTTAAAAGTTGTACGTAAGACGTTCAACAATACGTTAAAAGATGTTACATAGATGTTAAAAGTAGTTCGATTGACGTTCAAAGACGTACAATAAATGTTAAAAGTTGTACGTAAGACGTTCAACAATACGTTAAAAGATGTTACATAGATGTTAAAAGTAGTTCGATTGACGTTAAAGACGTACGATAGACGTTGAATAGATGGAAATATCATACGCTGGCCTATCGTCCTAGCGAAACCTTAGATCCGCGATTACTATTCCTCCAAAAGGAGATGCTACTGTCGAGCGAGTCATCTCGTCTTCGACATATTATAAAGAATTTTATTGTTGTAAACTATCAGCGGATATCGATACAAATGTTAGTTAGCGACGAATAGCTTAGCACCTATCGTCCTGGCGAAACCTTAGATCCGCGATTACTATTCCTCCAAAAGGAGATGCTACTGTCGAGCGAGTCATCTCGTCTTCGGCATATTATAAAGAACTATATTGTTGTAAACTATAGTGGATATCGATACGAATGTTAGTTAGCGACGAATATAATAAGATTATAATAAGATTTAGCGGCATCTTTGATGTAAGGGTATATAAGTCGGGATTAAGTACTGCATCCATAATAGATCTTCGTTGTTCACAAAGTTCGTAACGTAGTTATTCGTTTAAAAAAAATGTCTAGTTGTCGGAAAATAATCGATTCGTGTTTGCGATTGACGCATAGCTTAAACGGGCTATGCGTTGATAATTATTTATCATCGTTGTCCGACAACGACGATGATAATTATACGGTATTCGCAAAGTTTGCGGGTGCGTGCCCTAGCGCGGTGCTCGCTGTGTTATTTCGGTTGGGACATTTTTCGAATTATCCTCAGCTCTTGATTATTGCTGGGGAAATTGTCGAAATGAGACGTATTTACAGCGATGCTGAAGAGGATGCGGAGGTTATATCACCTGGCTGTCGCATTGCTATAATGATGCTGTAAAAATGTAAGTTTTTTTTTTTTATTTATAAATATTAAAACAAAGTTTTAAAAATTAAAATCATTATTTTTTAGGAACGCTACAACATCCAACATCTAAAAAAACTATGGTGGTGGAGGGTGTGGTGCGTGGTACGCGTCGAAACCACGACGAGCGAGCTACTCGACGTCTCGGGGTAAGACGTCGAGCGGATACCTCGCCTGAGGCCGGACCCTCGTGTAAGTCGCTGTATACATTATTTATATGAAATAACAGCATCGATTTTTATAGTAGGAAATTTTACAAAAAAAATTTAATGTTTCAGCTCGCGCTCGAATCGTTCTAACGCCTGAGCTCGTCGATCTCGTGAGTG